TGGATTCACATTTACAGGATTTTAAAATTCTCTATTTTCTTCTTTTAAGAATGTATTTACAGTCCATGTTATACTATTTTTTCACTTGTATTTGCAGTCTGTTCTACATTACTATGTACGCAACTCAACTGTTCGCTTAGATGGTGTTTTGAGAATGAAACTCCTGTTAGATTGAACCCTTTGGATCTCATTGATGAGCTATTGTAACAGATTTCTAAAGCTTTGAGACTGTTGCAATAAAACACTACTATACTAGTGTTACTGTCAGTAAAATAAATAAAAAGTTATATATTTTCATGTGTACAAAACCAAAGTCAAAAATGAATCCTCTCTTAGCCTCTCTTAGCCTCTTCAATTGCCAACCCTATTTTACACTGAGTCATGTATTGCTTGGCCTTGAACACATGGTTAAAGCCTATAAAAACACAAAGCTAGAAGAAAGCATAAAGCTGGCATTAAGAGTATCATATTATTACAGGCTATGCCTGATTCAGTTGAAATTTGGAAATTTGGGTGAACTAGTAGCATGTAGACAGAATATAAATGATTGTGCCACCGATGTCTGGGAGTTCTGGCAGTGATTTCCAGAGGTCCTAAATATCTACCCATGATTTCATGCATTTAAAATGTAACACATGGATCAAAGTCAAGTGTAAAAAAAATGGCAATTTCTTCCTGTCTCCTGTTTTACTCATCATAAGAGATTATCAAAAAAATAAAACCCAAATTTTATAATACTCAACAGAATGCTTGCTAAATAAACTTCCCAACTGACCAATGCAGATATAAATCATGTGTGCTAAAAATGCCTTCCTATTTAATCCTTAAGGAAGCAGGAAAAAAAAAGTATAAATATTAATAACAAGCAATGAGAACAGAAGGGAAAATCCATGAAACTTTAATGTGTCTTACCCACTGATGTATTATATGATCCTGACGCTTTAAACTTAAATATATAAACACAAGAACCTGTAATCATCTTAAGCAAATACGAAAGTGCTAAAAATGCCTTCCTATTTAATCCTTAAGGAAGCAGGAAAAAAAAAGTATAAATATTAATAACAAGCAATGAGAACAGAAGGGAAAATCCATGAAACTTTAATGTGTCTTACCCACTGATGTATTATATGATCCTGACGCTTTAAACTTAAATATATAAACACAAGAACCTGTAATCATCTTAAGCAAATACGAAAGTATATTCTACACTATGTATTTTTTTTTTGTCTTTGTATTAATGAAATTTCATATTGCAAGTTATTTATTCACATTAACATGTGTGTTATGGATGTGTACTTAAAAATTACTTACTCAGTAATATACTACTCTGTATTATAAGAATTTTTAAAATACTAGTAATATTATCATTGGAAGTACTGCTACACCAGGCTACTAGAGATATTTTGCATCCTAAATTCAAGCCAACATAGTGAATCCTGAGCATCAAAGACCACTGCGACAAGTGCTCAAATTATCCTTCTTTGTCTGGACACAGACTCAAAAAATGATATATATCCTATGAAAAATGTGACATTTGGTTCTCAATCTGCTGGTAGGCCAGATTTATCAAGGGAAAACTAACAGTGCCATGTAACACCTTCCATCCATATCCTCGCTGCAAATAGTCCTAAGGCTACAATAACTAGTAACTGTCGAAAGCCTAAAATGTCTCCTTTCTTTAAGACAAAAGCCCTTATGTCATTTGAACTTTACAAAAGGCTACATGGATTTTCACCTGATATTGGTTAGTACTCAGTTCATCCAACTGGAGGGATCTAAAACATTGGTGTTTTCGCATGAGCTACGTACTAATAGTCACCACACTCATTGCGGTCCAGATATTTAGTCAACTAGCCAAGTGTGTTAATTTCATGAGAGAAGTGACTGCTCTATAGACATCAGTATCTGTTCTGACTCACCACTGACTACAGATGGATCTTAAACACAAAATTTACATACAGACAAAAGTGCATTGACTGCTAATTTTGATGTCTTACTCAGGAACTAAATAGCTAAGTATTTCCTTCCTTCCTTCCTTCCCTTCCTTCCCTCCCTCCCTTCCTCCCTTTCTGCCTCCCTCCCTTCCTTTCTTGCTTCCTTCCTTCCTTCTTTTCCTTGCTTCCTTCCTTTTTTTTCCTAGCTGTTGCTATAAATCTTCTTATTTTTGCCAACCTGCTATGGCAAAACCGAAATAATTTTTGTGAAATGGGAGAATCAATGGGGAGTGAAGGGATAAAAGAAGGTCCATGAAAAAATGAAGTAAAATAATTTAAAAAACCCTTAAAATAACTGTGAAGGCAGAGAAGTGTATAAATAAAACTAAAAAATCTCAGTAAATACTACATTATTTAGAAGCTGGATACATGTTTTTCCTAAATCTGTGAAGAAAAAGTCTAGAAATATAACATTTGAAAATGATTTTCAACACACAAAAAAATAGCTAAAATGCAGAGTCAAATGTTTCTATCTGCAGTCATTATTCTAAACAGAGCTATTATTGAAGGGGATTTTGCCAGGAGTAACATTTTGTCATTAAAAGTTAATAAGCATAATACCACTTCTGCAAGCTCCTTTTAAGAGCAGCAGAAGTCTATTTCTCTGAACCAACAATTAGAATATGCACCAGAAACCATTATACATCATGGAAATATAATCCATTAATTTTATGCTCTGCATCTTTAAATATTCCAAATGGCATTTCTCTCTGGCAAATTAATTGAGACTGATTTACAAAAACACTGGATAACTAATGTAAGCCAGAATTTCCTAGGACATTATTTTCTATATTCCAAATACTAAAAGCTTACATTTATTTTATTGACTGATTATTGGTAGGTCATTAGCAAAAGCAAACCACTCTAAGATAAGTAAAATAAATGCAATGTGAGCCTTAACCCTCAAAAACATTCTCCTGAACAAGGTAATTTCTCAAACCAAGACAATCTTCGTTCATAATTTGTTGACCATAACATATTAGGATGTAAATTCAAGCAAAAAAATATAAAAACTAAGAGCAATATAGACTAAAATCGATAGCCTGTAAGTAGGATAACTGCAATTTGTTTGAAATTTGTAGTATTATGATTCTCTTTTTTTTATATATATACAATTTATATGAAATTGATAGCATTATGATTTTGCTGGGGGTTAGGCTAGGTCATTCTGTTATTTGCACCAGAATAATTTTTTTAAAAGCACATGGGTTACTAAAACACATCAAAAATGTGTTGCCTAACACAATTAATCCAAGAGTTAAAACCCTTGGATTCATTTTAATTGATAATGCCCTATAACTTAGATAAACAAAGTAACAGCAGAGCTAGCAGTGATCCTTTCTAGAACATCAGGTATGCTTATAAACTGATGCACGACTAGCTATGTAATAACTGCTCACACACAGCACTTGGGCTACCTGGTATAACAGTATCAGTGAGTACGTGGTAGCGTCTGCTGACAGCCTTTGTGCAAACTCTTCAGAGGCTTTATGTACATAGAATATCCAACACAGTAATGCTTTTGATGCTATTGCACCATAGGCTAGCAATCACAGTACGTACAAGTAGACTATGTTTCTATGCTCCTTTTTTTTTTTTTTTTGTAATTAGGACCTTAGATGAACTGGAGTTTACAATCTCCCATTAAAAAAAATCCCAGCTTTTCCTCTGGTGTTTTTTCGTTTGTATGTTTGTGTGTTTAAACTTTCAATTACTACAGCTATGGTTCAAACTCTTCAAATCTTGCTTCAGACCTCGCTGGTTTCTAATGTTGTAAAAATGAAATAAATACCCCTAAAAGTAACATATTGCTACAGACTGGTTTTACATAGCAGAAATCCCAAAGGAATTCTGCTCTCTCTAGAACAAAACTCTATCATGAAAAGCGTTTGGTTCAAGCCCTTGCTTACACTGTTTAAAGTCCTTTTCTTGAGTGCCTCCTGGAGTGTTAAGGAGAGGAGAAAGCATTAATAACTATTGCTTTGGTGTTAAAAATAATTTATATAAAGGAATCTGTGAACCTCTTAGCAAGAAAATGTCTTTCCCTCTTATAAAGACTACTTGTCTTTTTAAATTATGATTGCTTATCTTCTTAAATCTTCTCAGGCCTCTGTTCAGTAAAATACTTAAGCACAGTGTTTGATGTAAAGCATAAGCTCCATTTCCACTGCATCTTAAGGGTGCTTTTGGGTGATTTACTGAGTGCGTCATGGCCTTTATGATTAATATTTCCTTTGAGAATAAACAATTTTCCAGCCAGGAAACTCAGGAAATTTCTCTAAAGATTATTGTACTGAAAGGAAGGAGTAATGAGGAAAGTCTCAAAAGCGCATCAAAGCACTAAATATATCTCAGTATTTGAGAGGCTTCAGTCTTTACACATTTGACTGGAATTTCTAGCCCAGCTTTCCTAAGCTCATTTCTGAACAGCAGTGAAAAAGCAAAGCCATAATTTAGCAATTATAAACAGGCAATATAATTAATCTCCATTAAAATGGTAATGATTGTGTAAAATACCCGATGACTGTAAAACTATATGGTGATAGAAGAAACGAACAGATAACATTGTCTACAGTTTCCTGTTAACTGTTTTCTGATAGGATTTTCAAGTTTGTCTTCTAAGATTGACCACCAAAATTAATAACCCACATGATCATTTTACAAGTATGTTCTTGCTACACATCACCAAAATAATGACAATAGAAAGACAAAACAGAAAGAATTAAAGACAAGGTATAAAATGAAAGAAGCAGGTTTGGGCCAGAGGCTTTAGTGGAGTGATCAATTTTCACCAACTGAAGCTTGGCCAAAAATACTTCCATATAAAATGAATGTATGACACATAATTCTACAAAAGCATCACAAAGCAAAACATTAAGTTACTACTGTGATGAGAGTAGAAGCATAATGGTTATTGAAATGAGTTTCACTTTCATACTTTCAGTTTTAATAAGATTTTATACATGGCTTTACAGGAGCTTTGCAAATGATACCACAGATGCTTACCTGAGCTTTTATTGGTTTTGTTTTGTCTACTCTTTACTTGTTCAGTCCATAATGTAGGATATCGAGAAGCTATATCTAGAAGAAATGAGCAAAACAAAATTTGTAAATGTCACAGATTTTTAAGTTACTAGACACTGAATATTAACTGTGAGTTTTAAAGATACTCAAGCATAAAAAAGAAAAGGGCACACTATTTTCTGTTAAAACAGTTGAATTTTTCGTGAACTTTTCATGCATGAGAAGACAAAGGGAAAATTGTACAGCAATGTCTAGCATCCTAACTCCTTTTGAAAAGTTCCTCCCTTATTCCAATCATACAAAAAGTTGAAAGAAATGCTTGTAGAACATAATTATATTTAATCAAAATAAAATTATCTTGATGTTTTCCCAAAACACGTAATAACTTTGGATCGGATTCTGCCAGATTTACACTGAGTGATAGTGTCTCAGTATAGAAATAGCATTGCATATATAGCCCCTGAGCATCTCATTTAGAGAACAATGAACTTCACCAGACGTAAATAACTCTGGAAAAACACAAACCTTTTATTACTAGCCGTGTAGTATGGACAGAATTTATCCTTCATCTTTCTTATTTAGCCATACAATTTTAATCTTTACTGTGTCTTAAACTTAAAACTGTTTCTAGCCTTAAAAGGGACAATCAGTTTCACACTGCTATAATGCTGCATCAAAATTATCTCGTTAAATTTGTTATTTATAAGCAAAAGTGTGGAACCTTCAATTTTTACTTTCAACTTTAAATTTCATTATCCTCCTTCTAAAGGAACATCTGGTGCTGTGGTATACGGTCCCTTCTCTACAGTTCAATATTGTTCTATTTCCATTCTTAAGGGTGCTCACCTTCTTCATCACCTTGAGGCTGAGTCTCCAGCGCAGGAGCTGAGGCATCATCTGAATTCAGAATGGAAAAGATTTGCAAGGAGACTACAATTATGAGAGTAAGCTAAATAAGTGTATATATGTGATTGATACTAATGATTTGCACATAGTCCGGTAAACAAACAGTAATTTAAGTATCATTAATATGTATTGCAAAGCATAGATATATTACACCTACCAACTATAGACTATAAATGAATAGGCAAATTTTGAAGGCAAATTATGAAGGCAAATTTTACCATGCACCCAGCCACTTTTCAAAAACAAAAAGCTTTTGTTTTCACAATGAAGATGCATGTAGTACTTTATTGTTAACAAAATTCAGTGCAGAATATCAGCTGTAGAATCTCAGAGCAGTTGCATAACTATAACTTCAGAGTAATCCATCTGGATTTTTTTTTCATTGTTAAAGTACCCAGAGAAAGCAAGCTGCAGAACTGCATCAAATATGGTCTGCCAGATCCTCTTCTCTTGTAAATTTGTGCAGGACATATTGAAAGAAGAAATTGACTCAGGCCAACTTTAAGCTTTCTGTTGAGGTTAATCTTCAAGACCAGACCTGAAGATCTGGAGCATGTCCTCTGCAGTACAGAGAACATCATGAACCCAACAAAGCTTGCCTGGCTATGATGCTAGCAGCTACACCTATACAAGTACCTCAGGCTAGTCCATAAGAGCCAGGTAGAAGGAAGACAGGAAAGAAGGGGAGTATATTAAATGTTTGGTTACTCCAAAAACTACTGCCATGCTCTTTCAAGCTTTTATATTACTGAGCTATAAAATATTTCAACTGTACTAATTGTGAAGTCAGATCTTTAACTCAAACAGATGAGCTGATTCATAAATCTACGATGGTCTCTTGAGAGGTTGTGGTGTGTTTGATAAAATTACTTTATTTAAAACATACGGTAGTGACTGGTTAGAAGAAGGGTGGGGAGAGGAAGTAAGTGGTATCTGAGAAGAACCAGGAACCACCTGTGAACCCAGACAGTTGCCCTTTGTGCTGCAAGTTCAGGCTGACGAGTAAAAAGAAAGCATAAGTAAAATGAGACTTTATCGTTTGAGATGTAAATATATATGATGAAGATGGAAATATGATAAATTATGTTCATTTATGCTTCTTGTTTTAAGTAATAAGTTTTAAATGTTAGATAGCTCAAAACCAAAAATGGAATTCCTGACCTAAAGGGAATTTTCCCAGAAAGTAATGGGAAACCTAAGGTTACTGGAGCTCACAATTTGTCTGGAAATATGTAAAGGAAAGATTTTCCACTGATTATTAAATACCTTATCATTATTAGCCATTAAATAAATACTGATCTTCTTAACCTAACAGTACAATAATTTATTTAAATGCTTGGTATATTATAATGCTACAAAAGTTTCTGAAAAATTCTATCAATTACACTTAGAGTGAATCAAAATGGATATTCATTTGCATTAGAAGATATACAAATAAAGTCATTAAAACTGGGTAACTGACTGCAATATTTTCCATATTATTTTCAGCAGTCTTTTAAATTTATCTAAGTATTTAAAGAGTGAGCGCTTTACTTTTGGTTAGAGCACAAATATCTCTCTCAGTTATATCTACCAGCTGTGTTAGAATTTTGCTCTGATGACATAATAAGTACCATGATCTATTAACAATAATCATTTGGCCATGAATATAAGCCATCAGTTGAGTTAATCACAATATAGAAAAAGTGCAATATTCAAGAAAACTCAAGCACTGGTCGCTATGAAGATAAAGCAATGACTGCAGTTCTTGGGATGTTGGGACTCCAGCATATTGGTTTTAGCAAACAGATAGAATAATCTGTCTAGTGAGAAAATTGGAATAGGAGAAGAATTGGGAGAATAACTATGGAAAGAAAAATAGTTTTCTCATCAGCTCAGTATAGTAAATCTTATAGGGCCAAGTCTAGAAAATAGCATCTATAGACAAACACACACATACATATATTTATATTTATGTGCCAAAACTTACTAATGCCTTCAATAAGCATATAAAACAACAGCACATGTGCACGCATATATTTATATATTATATATAATATATGCATATAATATACATTATATATATACACTGTTACTTTGAAACTATGAGAAATGAAAGTTATATTCTACAGCTATTTTAGTTTATATTTAAAGGCATTCTAAGATATTTACCTGCTTTTCCAGCACCTTCTCGTTGTGGTAATTTCTCACTTACAGAACCTGCGATTGGAAAAAGGAATTAACCAAAAAAATACTACTTTCATTATTAATGTTTTCTAAGACAGTTCAGATTCCTCTATGCTTATTACAACCATAAATAGCAGACAATTCTTTTGCAAGCCAGAGACTACAGCTTGACAGATATCTGCACTATCATAGTATTGATTATAGATACATTTATTAAACAGCGAAAGGGATGACATTAAACACTAAATAAATACAAGTTCATGTTCATCTTCTGTACATTCATACTGTCCTTTCGAGGCAGACACACAGATGTCACATCCTACAACACGTGCATAGTCCTGTCACTGTTTGAAATCTTATTCACTTGCAGTCTCTGGCATAGGACATATCTCAAAATGATTTGGTTTCCTTAATCACGTTAATTTATTTCCCTTTGGGAGAACTAAATTCATTAGGAATTAAACAAACAAACAAAAAAACCCACCCTTGTACTATAATACATTTGTACTAAAATAAACATTTTAGGGAGGAAAACTCACTATGTCAGAGCCTTATTTACCGTTCTGAAGTGATGGTTACTTCAGCATGAAATTAAGACAAGAAAGTCTGCCACAGAAAAAAACAGCTGACATATAACAAATCTGGCATGCATATATGAAAGCCTCCATAAAAGAATATATGAGCATGAAGTCAAGTTGAATTACCTTCTGAAGAATTCAGCATTTAATGAAGTTTTTAAACTTTCATATTGAAAATATTCTAGTTAGGACTTCTTGTGGTAGTGTTTTTTTTCTTGTATCATGTTTGAATCATCAGAAATTCAAAATACTTGGCAAAAGTTGCATCAGTATTAATTCAGAACACTAACCCCTGTTATTCAACCCGAAGAGAAGGCAGATCCTTGTACTCATGCTATCTGAAGTCAGAAGAACTGAAATTTTAGGGGGCTGGCTTGAATTTCATAAGAAACTCACCTGGAATTCAAGTACAATGATTCAGGTATAGCAAGCACTGGGTATGAAATTACAGATTTTCTCTAATTGCACTACAGACAAGTGTTCCAAATCTTTCCTCAGATTTCATCCAGCCACAATTAACTACGTAGTTTCTCAATTTATTTTTTCTGCAGAGGAATATAATTATAAATTTTCTTACAAATCCGGAGGTCTTAGGTCTGACTCACTAGCACAGTAAAGAGATTTACACCAATTTGACAGTACAAAGGAGGTCCTTATAGGGGCATGTTTTTATGAATACCCACTTGATAGCTCACTTGCCATACAAACTGTGAAAAAAAGAAATCCTTAATTTAAATAACACTTAAATTGAAATGTCTATTCTCTACATACTCAGAACTAGCATTATAAATGGAACAGAAAATTGAGTTCCTATCTAAGCAATTTAAAGCATCTGTGAAATGTATACAGTATTCCATATCCATATCCATATCCAAACTAAAAGTGGAAAAGCCTTTCCCGATTACATTAACATCAAGATGCCTTCAGGTTACTCCATATGTATGTGAAATGGTGAGAAATGACTATGTGAAATGAATCAGAATCAGAAAAAAAAAAAAAACTTTTTTTGCTATGCTTTGTGTTCTTTTACCTACATTTTGAAAGAAAATTGGTGGGTGTAGGGACATGCTGGCATTCACAAAGACTAGCTATTGCATAGTGAAAATAATTTCACTGTGAAACTACATGAAGATTGGGAAATTAGGTTCCCTAGACTGATGTTCATTTTTGTGTACACCCGTGGGAAGCTAAAGAAAATATTCACAGAACTTCCCAGAAAGTAAAATCAATGTCCTTAGCATACTTTCACTTGGGATTTTAAATTTATATGAATAAATATTGGCAGAAAATTTGTTTTGGTATTCAGTCTGAGTTGGTGGGAATGTTAGTGAACTTATATTGTTATTCCTACAATTTTCTGAATATCTTTGAGTTAGAAGTACTTCTGGATTAAATGGTGATAGGAGTAAGAAATGAAAGCATTTAGAAAATTTTGTCTTCAATATTCATGACAGAAGTGCTCAAATGTTCAGTCAGGCAACAAGCAGAAATCATGGTTTATAACATTTCTAAAAATTAGACAATACAAATCAACTTTCAAGTTTTTAATGCACTAAAAGCAACTGAATCACACCACAGAAATACATTGATGTTAGTGGAGAAGGCAAGAAGCGATAAGGAGGGATGCTATATTCATCAGCATTATTTTAACAAGAATAATTTAGTACCAGTGAATCAGATATATACTTATCTCCTCCAATCTCCTCCATTTGCTTAGCTTTCCATCCATGATTCTGATTTTTTTTAAATGGTAGAAATATTCCTGCCTTGGTTTATTACAAAACTCACAATTCATACCAGTTTCAGTCAAACAATATCTGAGGCCTGGTAAATCTTTCAGGGAATGCGATATGATTTTTGTCGTTTATGATTTTAGCATACATATTTGCTATAGTTCTGATCATATATTATTGGAATTTAAAGGAGAAAGGGAATGCTTACTATTACCTGTTCTGGATAATAACTTCTGATCTTCTGCTAAGGAATACTTGATAAGTAATTATTGAATGTTTCCGAGAACAAGAAACAGGAACATAAACTGTACATATCCTATATTTACATATGTGTGTATGAGTGTATATGCAGAGGGAAAGTACTATGTACAGGGACAGAAGAACTAGATAATTCACAGATGGAAATTTTTCTCAGGTAACAAAAGCAGTATTTCTCTGTTAACAAAAGAAACTAAAAAAAAAACGCTTTTACAAATATAAGCATTTTCATTATATTATCTGATGATAGTGTTATACAGATGGGAAGAGTTGTGAATTTTGAAGGTACTCGTATTTTTGCCTTAAAGAATACATGGCATCTTAAATGCAAAGCAAATGAATTTCTAAGAACAATAAAACATATCAGTAGCCCACTGCCATCTCATTGCCATGCTATGGTAGAAAACTAGAAGAGCTGTAGCGGCAGACAAATCCTACAATAGAAGAACACTTCATATTCCTGTGACAATTTTAACACCTCCCACCCGCCTCTCGATTTCTGACCTATTTCCCAGGACTCTGGTATTGGAATTTCTACAGTTCTCTGCAGAGCTGATAACAGAAATGGGGAGTTGTAAAAATGTCTATTTTACATATGGTGTTTTTAGTGAAAGCATTGGGGGACATAAATCATTTTTAAGGAGCTGTCTTTTTAAAGCTGTCATGGGAATGTGTTTGATTTACTCTCCTTCTCACCACTGCTCCTGGAATAGTGCAGATTATACCCATGGAGTAGAATGGCATTTTAAGATTTACCATGTGTGTTTTAGCAGTAGCAAGTGTGGGTGTCGGAAGGACTGGAAAGGATGGATGAGGAGCTTTTTCAGGTAAGGATGCAGTAATTAAATAGAAGGTTTTTACATGATTCCATTGGAAAGAGTCTTTCTTTTTTTACAGAATCTCCATCCTCTCATATCTTTTGTCCTAGCAAAAAAGACAGTTTTAGTAAGAGTAACCACAACAGCGGAGTGAGCAATTAATTGCTCATGCAGATACTGCAGACACATAAAAAATATATTTTCTATTGCAGGATCTGAGAGAGCTTTAGGAAGAATCATATTATGTGGATAAGGAATTAAAAAATTGGATAAATTTATTCAGCCTATCCATATTGCAAAGTAAATACGAGGCAGATCTAGGAAAGACTTATCTGTCCAATTACTGCTGAAAGAGAATTAAAAACACTGAAACTTTTTATTTAGGAGAGAATTTTTCACACATACGATGGTTCCATATTTCCTATGAGAAAATCATTCCAAAAGAGTGTTCACAACTAACTCTACCTATCATTTTGACAGTCTGCAAGGTTTCTACTCTAGAGGGAAAAAGTAGCAAAAGTGATCCCAGGAGAAAATAAAAGCCTTGTACTAGTGCATAAACCTCTTTGAAACAACTGTAATACCATTCCTGCAGAGTAAACAGAGGCAAGTGAAGGCTACATAAAAATGCAGCTGTCAGGATGCCATTACTACAAGAAATCTGCTTTCAATATCAAGAAACAGACAGTGCCTGCAAAGAGGTTAGCAACCACAAAAATAATGTATTAGATTGACTAGGGACAATAATCTGGGAAACTATATGATTCCCCAATTGCTAGTCAAGACAGGAGCATGTCCATTCAACTTCAGTATACCTACTAATATTTTGATTGAAATCTCTGTGCATAATAGTGCTAAAGAAAAAATATAAAAGGGAATCAGTGGTGTTCTGTCAGACATCAGTAGTTCTGGTGGAAAAAGACAGACAGAAAGAGAGAAAGAAAAAGAAAGAAAAAGAAAGAAAAAGAAAGAAAAAGAAAGAAAAAGAAAGAAAGAAAGAAAGAAAGAAAGAAAGAAAGAAAGAAAGAAAGAAAGAAAGAAAGAAAGAAAGAAAGAAAGAAAGAAAGAAAGAAAGAAAGAAAGAAAGACTGTTATACTAAACAATGTAATTCTGAGCATACAGTGAGAAATGGGAGAGAGGTGTAATTCTTCAGACAGTGTAAGCACAAAGTTTTGCCTTACTATCTTATGTAACTCTCTGAGAAAATCTGTATCTGTCCTCTTAACTGAATCATCTATTCAAGACCAAACCCTTACCCACTACAACTGCAAAATACCCCAGTGCTTCTAGTTCATTTCTGAATTCTACTGTAGCTGGAATTCTTTCCTGGAGACAAAAGAAAAGTGGTGAGCAGTAAACATAAGAGCACAAGCAGAAGAAAAATTCTGCAGAGCCAGTCCCAAAGGATCTAATGACAGCTAGAGAACTATCCTCGGCCTTGCATGCAGCAGAATCAGGTACTGCTTGTCCACTTGAACCCAACAGCAGTATTTTTATCCCTGAACTATACATTAGAATAGAATGCTAGAATCCCCTTTTCCTTAGACATGTCTGTAAAATTAACTTCTCTTTCCATGCCTCAAATATATATATATATTGAAACAATTTGTCAGGTTATCTGCTATGTATAAGAATATACCACTGAGGGGAATTAGGGCTTGCTATCTAGCAAGAGGTGGAGTTTTTCTGTGAAACTACACTGCAGCTTCTCCTTAATACTAAATACACAAAATCAAGTGAATTTACCTTAAGCAATTTAGCAAAACTTTGACTCAAAAAGTCATATACTATGACAGTCATCAAACAACTACTTGTTGAAATTTCAGCCTATACATAATTCTTTCTTTACTGATGTAGGTGAATCTGAGGAAGCTACAAGGCTTTATGACACCAATAGATACTGCAAAGAAAGCAATGAAGGTTACACCTTCAAAGAGGGCACAGTTGTGAATGTGCAGAAACATCTCTGTTTATGTTGAAGCACATAAATGCTCTCCTAATTACCTGTGTCTTCTGGAGCCCTAACCCAATTATAAACAGTGTCACGTTAAAATGTGAACATTTTATATGACTTTTCACAAATCATTGTCATGCAACATTGACTCTTCAACATATATCCCATTTTAGACTACATCAAGTGGATTAGACTGAAGATTATTTTTTTAACTAAAGTTTATCCACAGGTTAAATGCATGGAAGGCTCTGCAAATCATTTAAACTAGACAGGCTTTAAAGTGGGAAATAACTTTTAATAGTCTTTGCTTTTGCAAAGACACCTTTTCAGCTTAATTTATATTACCAGGTTAATTTATATAAGTTACTAGTAATTCCTTCCAGTCTCTGAAAGGGAATGGTCTTGCCACAAGAGCAAAAACATAATACGAAGGGCACAGGTATACTCAGAGATGTTTCTGTTGAAGGGCTGCAATTCTGTTGGCCTCAAGCAAGGTGACCAGTAATTCTGGCATTTGCTTATGCACCGAGGATTTGTTACATATATTATCAGTGTCAATGGAATAGGATCAGAAGCAAATTCCTTAAAAATAGTGAAGCTGTTAATTGTCCTGATGAAAGATAAAGGGCAGTGCCTGGAGCAATGAGTTCAAGTTGCCAATTAATTCCTACAGATAATGATTCCATTATGTTCTTTGTGCTTCATTTCATTTTTATTTTTATCTCTAAGTTTGGCCATTTATCAGATTTTCTGTAGAAGTTGTTTTAGTGGATTACATTCACACCCAATATTTTTCTTGGTGTTGGGATTTTTTTCTGTAATAGAAGTACTTAAAATATCTAAAAGGCAAAAATCTTCTGGATTTTTTGCAGTAAGTTTACTAGCAGGAGAAAACTACCTCAGCAAAGCACTTGTATGGTTTAATATACAAACATATATATATATCATACAAATATTCACAGCAGAAAACCCCCCTGATTGCTAGATTATGTTACAAATAAAATAGATGGAATCGCAGAAAGATTTAGGTTGGAAGTGAGATATGAAGAACTCAAGCAGGGCTAACTTCAAAGACAAATCAACTTGCTCAGGACCTCTTTCAGTCAAGTTTTGGAAATCCCCAAGGATGGAGAGACCATAGTCTTTGTAGCATCTGTTGCTGTGATGAACCATGCTCCCGGTGAAGGTTTTTTTCCTTAAATCTAATCAGATTACAGAATCATAGAATCATTATGATTAGAAAAGGCCTGTAAGATCATTTAGTCCAACCGTAGATGCCCTAAGTGAACCTGACTGTTATTCTTCACAAAATATTACAACCTCACCAGCCAAACAAATCTTACCTGGGCATCGGGGAGTTTTGTGCGCCACAGCAGTACCGCTGATAGGACGGCCATTAGGAGTGACACACCAGCAGTATCCAGTGTAACTATGGCACTGAACCTGTCAAAAATGATAAAAACCATGTGCAGTCTTTGAGACGTGTCTATTATCCCAAAGCATTCATGACACATGAACAAATGGCTAGTCCAACAAACTGTATTGGTGAAGTCTAGAATAATAAACTGTAAAGGACCTTAATTTCAGTCTAATATATAATTTCTTAGCATAAAGAAGAGCTTCTTTCAAGCACAGTGTGGTAGGATCTTCAGCTACACAGAAAGATAAAACTATTGAAATATGTTGTTGCTTATGCTCCATTTCAGAAGAACAAGGTGCAGGTGTTACAAAAACTTCACAGTGAAGGTCCTCAGGGGAAACATAAACTGTTCCTGAAGCAAACAATTTTGAGTTCACAGAGAACATATTGTTCCACCCACTGAAAGAGCAGGACACAGTGCTTCTGCCAGCATTATTCATCTCCCAAGCTGTCAGAAAGGAAACTCTTGGAATTCCTCTTAGAAATCAATTGCATTTTATTTCCTGAAGGCCAATATCACTCCCTTCACTACACCTGATTGTCTTCTGCACAACTTTGCAAATTAAAAGCAGTACAAAGGCAGCAGAAAACAATCATGATTAGTATATATATATATATATATAAAAGAATAAGCTTTTAACTGCATCCCTTTTGAATTCTACGATCTAACTTGCATAAATTAGTCTCAAGCTGTATGCTTGTGCAAAAGTTCAGCTGAGAATAGGGAAGATTCCTGCATTATACATGATTTAGCATGACTGTTGTCACAAGAGTTCTGGTTCAGATTAGGAGCAAATCAGAAATTCCAAACATTTTACCATCTGATGAGTATACAAGAATGACTCAGCTGCCTCAGTCTAGAAGAATAGGGAGTGTATCACATTAACAACAGTAATGTTTGGCTCTTTTGCTAGCCAGTTCTGAAGAAAAAAGCACAAGGACTCAGCTGGCACAGAGCAAAAATTTTCCTTCCATTTTTTAACCTCAGTGTTAGCACAAATTACATTTCATTTTGAAATTACATTTCATTACATTATTTTTTTTCTTTATTTTCTGCAAACAGACATAAAATCGAATCTTTCAGACATGCAAAATGCCAAATCAAAAAATTTCAACCTGACTGTATGTGCCATCATCATTGCATTCTGGGATAAACACTTGTTGAAATTCCTTGCGAGCTTGTTCCTGGGTGTACTTCCTCTCAGCCACACATCTGGAAACATCTAGAAAAAGGGAGAACACAAGTCAGTTGGGTGATGCAATGCTAAGGTCAGTGATAACCTAAGTGATAACTTAAAGAGAAAAAGAGAATGGAAACAATAATCAGTGACAATGTACAGTGATTTGGATTATTTTTTGAAAGCAAAGCCAATGAAACAATTGTATCATAATTAGTTTTCAGGCTTTTGATCAATATCATCCTAATTACTGCACAGCACAGAGACTTGTTGTGGGAGTGGCCAGTTCAATAATATCTTTTTCCATACTTACTTCATATTACAATAAAAACATGTGGAACAGTTTATGATTAAGCCCAGCCTACTATATGGACATTTTTTTGTGCACTGTGTTGTTCCTTGCACTATCATTTTAAACATTACTTGGTAGCAGTCTCTATCCAAGAGAAGGTAGCAAACCAAATAGTTTTAATTCAGTAGCATTTCCATTGTCTAATATATTACACTTTCACTAGGCAGACAAAGCCCAAGAGAGGACAAATAACAACCTGTTGTATCTTTTTTGTTTTAGGTAATTACAAAATATTAACAAGTTGCTCATGCAGAATCACTATTTCAGGTTCTGCTTGAACTAAGCAATTTCAAGAATTAATGATTTCAAGATGTGATTGTCACATCTTAATTAAAATGATTTCAAGCATATAAGCAGAATAAAATACTACTTTTGTTCTGTGTTTTGTTTAGAGATTGTTGGACAGTAAATAGGAGGTAGCATTCTAAGACTAAAACTGCCCACTGTTTACCTTTGAGACAGGGACATTGTTGTAACTAATGACTGCAAATTCTTAGCACAGGGACAGATCTTCTAGTCTGTGCAAGCTGCACATAAATAGAATCAGAATGGTAAGGCTACAACCCTCTCACTTCCTCATTTGATACCAGTGCATCTTGATATTTCTTCAGTATCTAACAGTCCCCAGGAACTCATGTCACACAAGCATGAACCGGATAAGTTCCTGGTTTCCCAAGTACCCTCTCTGTGCCAATCCCATTTAGCCATTTATGCACAGAGCAAGTAAGTTCTATGTAATGCCAAAAAGCTGTCTGTAGTACATGATCAAGCTTTGGACAAATCACCTAACAAAATCAGCACTAAAAAGAAAAAGAATCTGGTGTGGATAGTGCAGCATTCTCAGGACAGAAATAGGTATCAACGCTATGAACATAAAATTACGTCCTCTTAATTTTAATTTTTACAGTTTAATTTTTAATTTTTAGCCTTCTAGTCTTGGACCTGTACACTTTGTTTCTGTGTGTTACTCTATTCTTTTGTAAAGTGAGATTTTACTTATATCACAGGAATGTTATGAGTGTCATTATAAAGTTCATGCTGGTAAAATATCTGAAGTATAACATGTCTTACATGGAAAATCTAAGTTTCAGACTTTAATAAATTCAATCATATTATGCTGTTTCAGAAAAGTTATTCACAGAGAGGCAGTGCCATCTAAATTGCACAGAAAAGTTCAACCATCCAGAAATATGAGAAAGATAATAAGGCACTGAAATAATTTGTGTTCTGGTACTTCAATAACTTAATAGATTTTTATCAAGGAGAAAGTATAATTAATGTACTGTGCAGATCAGGTAGAATATGTTAGTATATGGACTGCCAAAGTATGAGAAAAAAAAAAAGAAATACTTTAACCAACCTTTGGTGTCATTTGCCTTATTCTGAGCATGGTTTGGATATGCAGTACTTAACAACATGTGGTTTTAATATAGCTAGTATTTTAACTGAAAATAAATCACTTCTTTGTTGGACCTCTATCCTCGTTTTTCTAGAATGACATGTGGTTTAAAAGTTTAAAAGGAAAAGTGATATAAATTCCATCACGTAAGGCCTCTGCTATAATACTAGCAGGTTTACAAATTATCTCCAATATTTCAATTATCATAAAAGTATGCCAGAGAGAACGAGAAGCCCTCCAATCTGTCCATCACTTTGTTTCTAAGCAGCTAGGTGTTCTAAAGGCATCCTATTTGTAGATAATCTACTATTCTTTACAATGACCAAATATAGTGAAATGTTAAATTGAGATTTGAAGCCTTGTTTTGCATCATAATCATGGAAACATTTTAATGCTGTTGAATATTAATCTCCTTGATTATATTAAAAAAAAATCTTAGGAGGAAGCTGTCTTTTCAAGGTAAACATCTGAAACTGAATAGTAAAAATGTTATTCCTATTCTGATTTTTTTTTTATTTCACCAAGGTATTACTTTTGAGGAAGAAGTATGAGACACAGATACAATTCAGCTCTGATTGATAGAAGAAATGTAGCAGGGTGGTAAAGACAAAAGAAAAGCATGCTCGGAATAGTGACAAACATTAGATTACTAGTACAGAAGAGCTAAGGTCATTCCAAATACATCATAGAAATCGAAGGACTTCTCATATTTTTCGTAATTATTGTGTGTTCTAGACATGGTATCTATTGAGTCCGCTGCCTGACTTCAGTGAAATTTTCGTTGAAACATTTCAGAGGAAAGATAGAGTTCAAGAGAATTATGTACTAGACCTTATTGCAAACAACAGTTGAAAAAGAAGTTGAAAATTAATTTTTGAAAGAAAGTCTGAAATATGAGCTCATATAGAATTATTCACGCAAATACATATAATGATCTTGTCACAGATGTAGGAAGACCTTGCAGCTCCTAATAAATACGAATCAGTCAAGCATAAGCCCCAACCTGTAGAGGTCAACCTTTCACATGTCCATTGCCTACAATCACTCAGTGAAACCCAGTGCTATGGCAACTCTGTTAAGCATATTCAGCCGGAGAATTCTTCTCTACAGGCCCCACTCTGCACCTCATACAAGTGCAGATGACTCACCCTTGATTAGTGTGATGTGTCCAGGACTAAATGGCTTGCCAACAGGAAACTTATAGGAGAACTGGCATCTAAAGGGATTGCTCTGCGATCTCTCACACACAGATTCATCTTTCCTTGTTAGCTAAACATGGCTGATTCATGTTGGGAAGGTCCGTAATCTGTCTTGAAATGAAGACCGAGAGTAAAATATGGTGGACCTTACCTGACAATTCTGCGCTTACTGAATCAACTCATAGCTTTGATTTCCATCGTCATAGCACCTGGCCAAAGCAGTCATGGCTCTTTTGCAGTGAATGGCGTCACACTCATGACACACAACCCAAGATCAGAGAGGATTCCCAAGATCAGAGCAGATTCCAAATGAAGAGGAAAAGCACTATACAATGTTGTGCATCACTGGAATAAGTCAGCCTTATTACACTTAACTGAGCTCTACAAGGAAAGCCTTACCTTTTTTATTTATATTTTCTTTTTAAGTCTTTTCTTTTGTGTTTTTTTTTTATTTGGAATCAACTAAGGGAAAAAATCAGAGTTTTGAATTTGTTACTGGTTTCTAACTGAACTCCCACTAGATTTGATTTCTCTCCTAGTTTAATATTAATCCAGCAGGGTCCAATATAAATTTGGCATAGGACATGGTGAATATTTTCTGGTTCTAGGACCTATAAAAAGCTGAAATAAGGCCTTACTTGCCTATATTTAAACAACAGAGAGATAAAAAAAAATGCAGATATGTATGTCCAGCTGTAATTTTGAATTACTTCATTAGCTGAGTGAGATTCTAATCTCACTACTCCAGGTAAATGGGCTCTTATACTCCAGAAGCTTGCTGAGAAAGAGTTCTCCTAGCACAGAAACTGATTATGAAAACACATGAATTTTAGCTCACTTGGACAGTATTAGCTGTTAGACTGGGACAGTATTGGGCTCTGTGCTTTTTAGCACATTGGCCTGTATGTTGCTTGTGAGCAGCTGCACTGGAGTCCCATATTTGGCACAAATAAAACGTAATGTCATTTATGGCTGTCATTTATAGCTAAATGGAACAGCAAAGACTTTTACCTATTAAGTGGTGTGATGCAGGTACAAATCTTTAGAATCTAGAAGCAGATTCAGAAGCACAGAACTTCCTAAAAGGAAACTAAAGTTAATAGAAAACTTGTAGTAAAGAAGGAACTTCTTAAAACAGAATTAGCCTCACAAACAGTGGAGGAATGACTTGAAACTTATCAGTTTTATGCTCTTTTCAACAGTGCAGCACATAATAAAATACTTTGGGAGCTCTGGAAGAAAAAAAAATCAAGCTTAAGTCTACTGGTTCATCCTTTAATAATATACAGTAAGAAGTTTATTACTATGAAGTAGAAGTTTATCTTTAAAACAATGAAACAAACTCATCAAGGGTATAAACCTGTACACCAATGTGCGAAGCATGGGGAATAAGCAGGATGAACTGGAGATCTGTATGCAGTCCCACCATCATTGGAATCACAGAGACGTGGTGGGATAGCTCACACGACTGGAGCGCTGCCATGGAAGGCTATGTGCTCTTTAGGAAGGACAGGCTGGGAAGGCGAGGTGGTGGAGTTGCTCTTTATGTGAGAGAGCAACTGGAATGCATGGAGCTCAACCTGGGTGTGGATGATGAGCAAGATGAAAGCTTGTGTGTAAGGTTTAAAGGGCAGGCTAACGTGGGAGACACTGTGGTGGGTGTCTGCTACAGGCCGCCTGACCAGCATGAGGAGGTTGATGAGGCCTTCTATAGTCAGCTGGATGTTGCCTCACGGTCACAGGCCCTGGTTCTCATGGAGGACTTCAACTACCCTGATATCAACTGGAAGGACAACACAGCCAGGCACAAACAGTCATGGAGGTTCCTGCATTGCGCTGATGTTAACTTTTTGACACAGGTTGTAGAGGAGCCAACAAGGAGAGGTGGGCTACTGGACCTCGTGCTAACAAATAGAGAGAGACTTGTAGGAGATGTGAACATGGGAAGTGGCCTCGGCTGCAGTGACCATGAGTTGGTGGAGTCCAGGATCCAGCGAGGAGGCAAGGCTGTAAGTAGCCTCACAAGGATGGACTTCAGGAGGGCCAACTTTAGCCTCTTCAGAGACGTCTTCGGAAAATCCCATGGGCTAGAGCT